ACACACACACACACACACACACACACACACACACACACACACACACACACACACACCACTAAGTTTCCTTTAATAATTTAAAAAAATTAAGCTACTGAACTGGATTATCTCTACTTTAAAGGCACTAGAACATACACAGAACACTAACTTTCCCTGAATGATGTTAGCAGCACAGTGAAGCTGAACTATTGAATGCTGCCTGTGGGCTAGCCTTATGATGCACACTTGAAGGCATTAGGACATTTTTGTTTACAACCTCTCCTGGACTCCATGATGGGTTATGTCTATGTTTTGAGTGAGGAAACTGAAGAACAGGACACACACATACTTAGTAGTAGGCCAGTGGCTTGCCTTAGTAATGTGGTGGAATTAGGATTTGAACACAAAGAGAAGCAGCTTTAACCCCTACCCTATGCAAGTAGTTGCTCAATAAATCTTTGGGATAACTGTGAGCCCACAAATAGCACTTGAGTGGCCTTTCCTTCCTTCCATTGGTCATTTATCTAGGTAGTTGCCAAATCTCTTGCCTGCCACTTTTTCACCCAAACACCTGCTGAACCTGCCTTAAATCATCTCATTAGCTTTGAAAGTGCCTGTGGACTGGCTTTCATGGAATCCTTCTTCACCATCAAAGATGCCTATCATGTCCCCAGTACACGGCACTCAGCACTATCTTCCCCTGAGCCCACACCCTTTCCTCCCAGCCTCTTCCTCTGAGTCACCTTATCCTGGCCATTGGCAGCTGAGGTGGGGAGGGAGTCAGACTAGGAGGGACAGCAGCAGGAGCACCTGCTAAGCTTCCAACAACTTTCCAGGGTGAAACATCTCTGTTTCCACCCTGAATTCTCTTTCTTTTCTCCTCTCTGTCTCTGTCTCTCACTGTCTCTGTCTCTCTGTCTCTGTCTCTGTCTCTCTCTCTCTCTCTGTCTCTCTCTCTCTGCTTGCTTCCTTGCTTCCATCCTTCCTTCCTTCCATCTTCTTGTGCTGGTACTGGATTGAAACTCAGAGCCTTGGCACTGAACTTCAGCTTTTTCACTCAAGTATGACACTCTACCATTTGAGCCACAAATCTACTTGTGGCTTTTTGGTGGTAAATTGGAGATAAGACTCTGTCAGATTCATCTGCCTGGGCTAGCTTTGAACCTTGAACTTTCAGTGTAGTTAGGATTACAGGCATGAGCCACAAAGGACCCATGGATTCCACACACCTGCCCAGGTGATTTCTCTAAGCCATGGGTCTGCTGAAAATCCTTTGAAACACTTCAAAATAAATTTCTTTCTTCCTTCAGGATAATATACCCAAGCTCACTTTCCCTGTTTAATTCCCTGTTTGTGTTTATTTTTTTTTAATCACAGACATTTTTAAAATACACAGAGCAATCTATGTTAAGCACAAAGGACTGCACAAAGTAGTTGCTCAATAAATCTTTGCTAAATGAATGCAAAGCTTAGAAAAGCTGCCCTTACCCTTCCTGCTTGATGAGTGGAGCTGGGTAAAATGCTCTTACAACTATGTTGCAAGTAAGAGAAGAAGATGTGTTTAGTTCACATCAGATTAATTTGGGAAATACACACTTTTTTCCATTTGAAAACATCCTTCCATTGTCATTGCTAGTATTGGTCATTCTTCTTTAAGGAAAGGTCTTTTCAAACACACTTAGTCTAAATGAAGAAAAGTAATGGGAACACTCTGGCATGAACACAGCCAAAGTGCTCACTAATGTCAGCGTCATTAAGACACAATCTCCCATAAAACAACTTCCTTAATTAATATGCATTTTCCTTAAAACACTAAGGAAATGTAAGGTTTTTTTATCCTTACTGAAAGAAAAGCATGCTCAACTATGTCATATACATCTCTATTTTTACTATTAAAATAATTTAAGAGATGCTCTCAAATTAGTAACTGAGGACAGATGTTAAAAGTAAAGCAGGCTGCTGGTGACTCATCCTTGTAATCCAAGCTATTCAGGAGGCTGAGATATGAGGATCATGATTCAATGCCAGCCCGTGCAGGAAAGTCTTTAAGACTCTTATCCCCAAATAACCACCATAAAGCAGGAAGTAGATCTGTGGTTGAAGGAGTACAGCACCAGACTTGAACAAAAAGTCTCAGGGACAATGCTCAGGTCCTGAATTTAAGCCCAAGATACTTTACTAAATAGGTAAATAAATCTAAAGGAGAGTCCCATTTTTGTTGAAACACATACATGTTTGCATATGTTCTTTGTAGTTCTAGTAAGTCAACAACAATGATTGAATTTAGGAGATGGTTTTACTTTGTCATTTTCTCTCACTTGTATTTTCTAATACAATAAAAGGCCTAAATTACATAATAAGAATATAAGTTTGTAAGAGTTAAGATTAGATTGGCATTTATTTGTTTATTTATTTATTTATTTTGTGGGTTGTATGGCTTGAACTCTGGGCCTGGGCTCTGTCCCTCAGCTCTTCAGCTCAAGGCTAGTGCTTTACCGCTTGAGCTACAGCGCCACTTCCCATTTTCTGGTTGTTTATTGGAGATAAGAGTCTCAAGGACTTTCCTGCCCAGGCTGGATTTGAACCATGATCCTCACATCTCAGCCTCTGAGTAGCTAGATTTACAGGTGTGAGCCACCACATCGGGATTTTTATATTTTAACAGGATTTGTATATCATGATCAAGCTACATACATATTTATATGTATCTATATATTTATAAAATATATATTTGAGTGCTGGCACAGAGGCTTGAACTCAGGGCCCTCCACTCTTGCTTGGCTTTTTCACTCAAGAATGGTGCTGCACCACTTGAGCCATAACTCCAGTTCTGGTTACTGGAGGTAAGAGTCTCTCAAATTAGTATGGATGGCCTGAAGCCACAATTCTCAGATCTCAGCCTTCTGAGAACATTTATATTATGTTCCTACCTAGAACTCAGCAAAGTGATCAAGAACCATCTATGTTTTCAAAGTCCTTGGGAATATAGTCTAGATTTTCCAGCCACTGTCACAATCAGACTACAATCAACTAAAACAATCCATAAAGCAGGACGCCCCTTCCTCGGGACCTTAAGGTGGACCATCCCGGCATTTATACAACACAGACTTTCTAATTCCTATTTTCTGTTCTACTTTTGCTGCAACAGTGAAGATTACATTCATGTTTCTCAATATGGTTCACATTCTAGCTCCATCCACAGTAACAAGCTAGGAGACCTTGGACAAGGTATTCAGCTTTCTTAAGAAAGTAAGTTCTTTGCTGTAAATAGTAAAAGCAGTAACCTTGGTGTCAGGCAGGCTGAGAAGACAAAAAACTGCAATGCAGGGGGGCGGGGGGAGGGGTTTCTTGTGACTGCCTCCTGCAGCTAGGTATGTTGTTCTTTATCCTTTGCCAGGAATTTAGGATGCCAGATAGATAATTGAGCTGGAAGTAAGCAAACTTTCTATAGGAGGTCAACTGGTTTTAGAATTAACAGTCACTTAAAATGCTAAGTCAGTTGTAAGCACACCCTAAGGAAGAGGGGAAAAAGTGTGATAAACTTGTTAAAAAATATTTACCAGTTCACAGTCACCTAACATCCTGTGAGAGAATAATTTTAGTGGGTCTAGGTAGGTAGATTAGATAGACAGACAGACAGACAAACAGACAGACAGACAGATCAGTCTATATGGAGCAGGGAACAAGTCAAACACATAGATAGATAGATAGATAGATAGATAGATAGATAGATAGATAGATAGATAGATAGATAGATAGATAGAGGTAGATAAATCTATACAGAGCGGGAGAAAGTTGACTGTGTGTATATATATATATATGTATATGTATATACATATACACACATATACGTATGTGTGTACATATATATATGTATGTATATATGTATATATGAGAGAGAAGGAGCAAGAGTGTCATGACAAAAACTGCTTTCTTAAATCACAAACTCCTTCTGAATAAGTTATGCTCATGGTCCACTTGTTCTTGGGTAGAAGCACACAAGAACAGCCGTCACTATTAAACAAAGTTAGAAGATGGAACCCATGTAAGCTGGTTTAGCCTCCCCTCTAGGCCTGCTTCAAGAACCATTAAATAGAAGAAACTGCCTTCTACTACTGTTTGCCCACCAAAGGAATACTTAGGGATAGCAATAGAAAAATGCATGATGACAAATTTCCACTAACACACAAATGTAACATAAAGTTTCTTTTATATATACTGATAGAAGATTCAAAATAATCATATAAAATTCTTTGTATAATAAACTGTAGTATCACTAATAAACCCAAAGGCAGTCTTATAAAAATTGGAGGCTGACTCAAGTGGTAAAGCACCAGCCATGGGAAACAAGGTCAAAAGAGTATGAGATCCTGAGTCAAGGCCTAGTGCCAACACACATACAAAATAAAGGGTAGTCTTACACTTGAGTGTGGTAGTACATGCCTATAATCCCAGGATGCAGAAACTGGTGGATTCCAGTTCATGGCCAGTCCAGAAAAGAAAGCCATTCAGACTCTATTTCAAAAACAAGACAGGCAAAGCAGTTCACACCTATGGTTCTAGCTAGTCAAGACAGAAGCAGGAAGGTCACAGCCTAAGGTTAGTCCTAGGATATAAAGATGAGAGTCTATCTGAAAAATAATTAAGGCAAAAAGGGCTTAGGCTATGACTCTAGTGGTAGACTGCTTGCCAAGCAAGTTTGAGGCCACCAGAGAAGAAGTGCTCATACAAAGTTGTTTTCTAGTGGCTATGGGCACCA